GCGTGTATGTACGTGCGTGTTTTCTCTGTACCTACATCATATATTTGTAATTATTGTAAGTTGTTAGAATCGTATTTGCTAGTGGACGATGTTATATGCAATTTATGATGTGCATTTATCGCACGGTCATTTTTTTTATGTGACTCGATCGATTTTACGAAATGTCCCATATTCCTGAAAGAATCGTTCCCTCCGTGCGTTTCCCCCCTTTTTTCTTTTTTTTTCCTCTTATCAGCAGTGATTAAGCACGAAAAGAAGGATCTTTCCGTTCTTTCCCTCCATGTCTTTGCATGCAAATAAATTTTGCGCGACATGTTGCGTCTGCCTTTGGAGTCGTGCAAGCCAGACAAGCAAGGAGGAGGGTGCGCATCTTCGAGTTGCATGTCGCATCCTTTTTATCCACTGCATCGCGCGATACGTTTCAAAATCATCCACCCCACGCCTTCCTCTCTTTCTCATTCAGCATGGAACGCACGAGGAATGATTCCCATTGTTTGATCATTAGTACTGAGAAAAGGCGCATCGGCATCGGGATGCATCCCCCGATTAGCGAGATGCATCGCTGGATAGAAACGCGCCAGTCCGACGATAGAATCTCATCGCGAGTATCTTTTAGCGCGGGACGACAAAGAGAAAAAAAAAGAAAGAAAAAAAAATAAAAAAGGGAAGCGCAATTACATCTGAGTCAGATGTAAATGCAAGACGAATTAGAGCGACGAGGCTGAAAAGACGAGTGACAGTACGTATTCGACGATGAACAACAGCCTGCAATAAGATATTCATGGCATGCATTCGGCGTTAGTCCGCAGCCGCAACTGCAGAGCATGGCCAGAGTCTATATAAAAGATATGCATGAGCATGTTCATTCCGTTTGTTCGTTCGCTCGCTCGCTCGCTCGATCGTTATGTACCTTATGGAATACTCACGTGCGCATTTGTAATACTAAATAGCGAGTATCCACCAGTAGTAGCCTGTAATGGCACGAAGCAATGAAATTGAGCTATAAAAAAAAAAACGAAAAAGCCTTTAGAGCTACCAAGAAACATCTTGTGTGTGTGTGTGTATGTGCCTCGTAATTCCAGTAAAGATGAATCCGGTACTCGCCTTCGAGTATCTATTCTTCGCCGTCTTCGGTCAAACAACCCACGGCGAGTTGAAGGTCGAGAACAATCAGCCACAGTGGACCTCGGTCCTCTTCAAGTTGACCTTCGGAGTGTACATGTTGGTCTCGGTAGTGGTGTTGATTAATCTACTGATCGCTATGATGAGCGACACTTATCAACGGATACAGGCGCAGTCGGACATTGAGTGGAAATATGGACTCAGTAAACTGATCCGAAACATGCACAGGTAAGCCCGCGACCTTTTACGACTCCGAATATACGTGCGATAATAATCCGCTATATGATAAACCGCTAGATAACCGACGCGATCCGATCGAAATAGCATGCTCGATTATCTTTTTCCACATTTGGTCGGAACGTCAATGTTATAAATAGAATTACTTTGAAGCGTTCTCGCATTTACAAGACGAATCATTGCAGTGCCGTTCGCTTTTACATGCTTTTACATACAGCCTGCGTATGTCGCGGTCTCAATCGGTCTCTTAAATAACTCGCTGTTAAGCTATTCGGGGGTTAACGGAGCATTCCGTGTTGGAAACGCGATTGCGTGTTACAGAACTACTACAGCTCCGTCCCCGTTAAATTTGCTCACCACCTGGACCGTGTACTTCATCAAGTTGTGTAAGCAGCGCACCGCTAAGCGCAAGCGACCCTCGTTGGTGCACATGATGGGATTCGGGCGTGCTAGCCGTTTATCGCCCAGGTCCAAGATGGGCGCAAAATGGTTGGCCAAGGTTAAAAAAGGTCAGGTCCGTCCAAAGGATAGCGTGACTCTTTCCGTGGTGCATCTCAGCCCGCTGGGCAGCCAGCTGTCCTTCAATAGCGCGACCAGAATAGAGAACGTAGTGGATTGGGACTTAATTAGGAAAAAGTATCTCATCCTAACTGGAAACGAGCCCGAGAAGGAGGAGGACAAGGAAGAAAAGAGCAACGAGGATGAGAACGAAGATGAGAACGGGCCGACAGCATCCAACGCTTCGACGATACCAGCGACAGTCTCGAATCCGCCCACATAAAAGATTTATCGTCGCTCTTTGCTATTTTTCGATCAAATTATCGAGTACGAGTTTTCGCGCGAAAAACGAGCAAACGAGCGACTAAGATACTATCGGCCATCCTACTACCGTGCTCAGTATTACCTACTAGATAGCAGATTTAACGACAGATTAAGTGCGCTAAAGATATTCATCCTTCACGAATAATATTTAAATCGTAAACCGCAGACACAGACGATCGAGCGAGATCATCATAGAGGATCCCCGCGCGATTCTCGGCGCACCGGCGATCAGCCGAGCATTTAATCATTTAAGTAAGTACGCGTCTCTCAACGTATGATATGTGAATCTCGTAGGAACGCATATAATTGATGTTGTTTGTGAGATATATGAGAATGGGCCAATTCCGCCGAACACATTATACCTTCTCCGTCACATGGCACGACCGGATGATGCCTGCGAATGCCGAATTGTCACGAATCCCCGTCACATGCTCGCTCTCGATGTTTCATTGAATGTTGGATCATTCATCCGTGACACCATAGCGCGTTATCATCCGTAGGATGCAGATTGTACCTCTCGATTGATTCATTGCGACGATATTTTCCATTAGAGAGCCGTTACTGTAAACATTAATTAAAGTTAAATGAGATGGTTTGATTGAATTTATAAATGTTTTCATAGAAAGACAACATAAAAAGATATCTTAAGATTAAGTCTCAGTTATTAACTTTAACTAACATTTACATGGATGGTTCATAATGAAAATATTCCTGATATTGCAAATGTCTAAAGACACATCTATCTAAAGACACATCTATCTCTTTATTAAATCCCAGACTGCATGCATATCTAAAAGACTTCATAAAGACATCATAAAGATGTCTAAAAGATATTTAAAAAAACATAAAGAAGTTTTCTAGACAATGCTGTCTGGAATATTCTTAAATATTAGCAATATTCGGGATAATTCCCTTATGGAAAAATAATATTGGACTCACGAAAGAATGATTGGAAATAATTGAAAAACTATTTGAATAGAATATTATACATACACGCGTTTCAATAGTTTTTTCATAATCCAATAGTATTTTTCTACAAGTATTGCACGTAATATACATCGCAAGTCTCCTCTAGTTCCTTTTATGTTTCATGCGCTTAAAATTAGAAATCCGTTAGACAAAAGCGCATTTTTCTTAGGCGCTTTGGACTTTTTCTAACGACAGGCAAAAATGAAGAATTCGTACGAGTCGCAGCATATGTATATCCTGTATGGCTTGAATCGATTCTCTTTGCGACATTTGGTAGTGGCAACGTTTAGCATGTTCTGCGCAGAGTGGCAGAGAATTTTTGCATTCGTTCACGCGCATATGTACAAAGCACCTTACGAAACATATTGTTTAACGCGTATTTACAGTCAAGATGAATCCCATATACGCGGGTGAGTTGTTGTTCTTCGCCATCTTCGGTCAGACGACACACGAAGAATTAAAGACAGAATTGACGCAAGCCAAATGGACTACCGCCCTCTTCAAGATCACCTTCGGCATTTATATGTTGGTGTCGGTGGTAGTGCTTATTAATCTCCTGATCGCTATGATGAGCGATACCTACCAGCGGATACAAGCACAGTCGGACATCGAGTGGAAATATGGATTGAGCAAACTCGTTCGAAATATGCACAGGTAATAAGAAATAAAAGTTATACAGAAAGAATGGCTTCGCTGAAGTATCTCTAAAAATTTAACTAGATACAGATTTAAAAATAATTTTGTTGGATGTTCCAAATAATTATATGTATAAATATTAAATTTTATATAT